CCCCACTCTGCACGAGCAAGGAGAAATAAAAACAACGCTCCCAAAACCTCAGACAACCTGAGAGCCAGGAATTGAACTCACCAGCCTTCACTTATTCCCAGCTTGCTATAAGACTGCTGTGAAACCAGACACCTACTACTATATACATAATTATATGTTTAGAGGCACCAAACATGAGTGATATCCAAGCTGTACCAAGCCCTGTCACTCACTAGGCTCTCTCAACAGACCTTAGGATGTTGCCTTGAAAACATCCCTGCCCCATCCAGCATCTAAATCTTTTTGTACTAAACTACACATCTCCCATGCGGGGGGGAAAACAAAACAAAACAAACACATCCTAGCACACCTAGGAACAGTCCAGCAATAATTCAAAAGCTGTAGAAATCCAGCACAAATATTTCAACGCATTAGGCTGCAAATACATTGCCTAGGATTGAACCCTCTCAAAGAAAAGCCTTAAGGCATAAAGAATTCAAACCCATGAACTCAATTCTAATCAAAGGAGCCAAATCCACAGGCTCCTTTTGAAGGTAAGCAGGAAGGGTCAAGATCTGCTGGACTTAAGTTGCTCAACCTTCATGCTTCAGGCAAGGCTGCTGCTGCCAAGAGGAAGGTAAAGGCAGGAACGTGGCAGGCAGGCGCCTTGCTAGTCCCCAGCCACAACCAGATGCCCAGCGAGCAGTGCTACCCCTGCCAAAATTCATTGGACAATTTTAAAGCGGTCAAGACTCTCGCTTGAATTTCTCTGCTAACTGGAGAAGCGAAGCAGCCGTGCATCGCTCAGCAAGTGCCTCACAAAGCTGCCGACGGCGCAGGAAGGAGCAACCCAAGTCCTTTGGGATCCCCTAAGGTGATGGTACAACAGAGGTTAGATTACCAGCAACCACCTACCCGTCCAGTATCAGCATTTAGCACTTGATGTCCCCGCAGCAGCGAGGGGAAAGCCTGTAGGTGCAGTAGAGAAAAGACAAGAACTGTCAAACTTACATCGTTGTGACGCATCTTAGAAAACCTCTCCGGGAAGAGGACACGCAGCCAAGCTCTCACAGTCACTACGTCAGCAGAAAACATACCCAGCAAGGGATCTCGACTACGCAAGGTCCTCCTGGCAGAAGGATGTATTTAATTCAGTTCTGCAGTGAGGCTGGACAAAGCAGCAGCAAAAACAACCTTGTACCCTCCTCCCTGGGGAGGAGAAAGGCAGCCTAAGGAGTCCCTCCAGAGCTCCAGGTGAATGGATCCCAGTGCCACTTGCCAGTCTGTTTTCCAATCCAAATAATGGCTCGTTTACCGGACTATAATTCCTCTCCACTGCAGAAAGCAAGAAAGAAATTTAGAAGCTGTTTCATAATTATGGTGTGGAAGCATTTTAAATTCTTTGAGGCATCGGTGTCCGTCCTCCTACCAGCACAGCGAGGCACGGGGAAAAGAAGGATTTGTGGCATTTATGAAGTGAGGGAGAGTAGTCTCACATGTGCACACACATATAAATATGGGAAAAGGCAGGCAGGCCATTTCCTTTTGCTTTTAGTCATTTTAAGAACCAAATCGAGACACATTTTTACAGCAGGTACTGCAGTTTTCAAAGAAAAGAAGCCACGAGGCACAGTCACCAGGTTTTATTAAAGCAGATACTAGCTTCCACACGTCTGAGCTAAGACTGAAAGGTGCACAGATGAAAGCTGGAAAATAATATAAGTTACTTCAACTCACAACTCTCATAAACCAGAGTTTTGTCTGTGCTAGGCTTGGCAAGGAACAGTTTGATAATTTGATCCACTTTCAGACAGGGGAATGAACTACATGCAATCCCAAAGTCACTTCCAAATCTATATTCCATTTTTTTCCTAATTCCTCTAAACTTATTTATTTGTGAACTTTACTTTGAACAAAGCCGGGAGCACAACCATATTTCTATCTATGTCTTTTCAGCCTCGCGTAGTTTAAGATCAAAAATCTTTTCAGTATGAGAACATTACCTTCAGTCACAGAACAAGGATTCAAAAGACGTTCCCAAAAGACATGGGCTTTTGGCAGCTGCCAGTCACGCTCCCAGAGGGAGCAGAATATGTTGATCCCTTTTGTATGTTCTTAACCTATGCGAATCTTCATTTGGTTGGGCACATGTTTTTACTGACATATTATAAAAAGATGTTTGCCAAGTCAAGCGAGCTCCCATGGGTGCTAGGAACCTTCCCAAGGCAGCAGCTTCAGTGCTGGGACCTCCTCAATGACACACACAGCTGAGCAAACTACAACAAGGTCTCTCAACCCAGGTGTAAACACGGAGCTAAATGGAGAACAAGGATCTGGTTTAACCTCGGGTCTGTTCCTGGATCACCCAAACAGTTTATAGCCCTGTAACCAGCAGCGTCTCAATTTCCTCATATGTAAAATGCTGTTGCAACCCCAAATCGCTTCGTATCTCCAGAGCCTACAGCACAGCTCTCATCTCAGGCTCTCAGCAAGCACAGCAAGTTCTTTAAAAAGGAGCTTCACAGCAATAAAGATTTATTCAGTGATGCATACTAGACATGCCACACAAGAGAAAGGTCCCCACCAAGCAGTTTGTGAGGTCCGAGTCCTAATTTCACCCCAGAATAAGCTGTGGGCAGTTCTGGGGAGGCCGAAGGGCTGCATTCCCTATCTCACACATCCCCATCACCCGAGGAAGAAAAACCTTCTCACCTCCCCACCACCACCACAGCTGGATCCAGTCAAGTGCTACATCCACCACCTCTGGTTTCAGAGATCACAGAAGAGCAACCACAGTGCAAGTCTGACCGAGACCTCCAACCGGTCACGCGCTGCACGGAAGCTTCCACCACAGCGTCTGGAGGCGCAGCCTTCGCGCCTCTCCAGACTCCAAAGGGTTTGCTTAAATGGAGGAAGGCTCAGCCCCAAAGCCAGGCAACTGCTTGCAGGCTGGCCCATCAACGCAACTGCACAGATCTTATTCTCCCCTGCCTCTCCCACGAGTCACATCCTGCCTCCTAAAGCACCAGATCCAAAATTCTCCTCCCAGCGTCCCCTCCATCCCTCCAGGCCCCTCTTCAAACACACATATGAAGAGAAAAATCTTTTTCTTCTCCTCACACAAAAAAGCTTTTCCCTTTCCTGAGCTGCAAGCGCCCTTCTCATCTTTTCAGCCATCTGCCATGTCCTGCTCAAAAGAGGGAAGCAAGCAAGTTAAATTTGTAAATCCCCAATGGATTAGACAACGCTGAGACAAGTCTCAAAGTCCACACATAAACATTTATTAATTTCCTACAATGTATGAACTGGATCCATGATAATTGGCTAAGTATATAACAAATTACAGCAAGCAGTATGGTATGCCTTTTGTTACTTAATGATAAGCAGGAAAGGGGGAAAAAGAGAGACAGAGATGGGGATAGAAACAGAGATCACCAGCCCGGGTTCCTGAGTTTGTCTTGCCAACGAGGGCTCGAGGATGCACCCGTCTTTTTCACTTCGCTTCCCTTCTGTTATCCTTGCCTCCCCTCAATTTATCCACACTTTCCTTGGGTCCCTCTCCTAAGTCAACCTACAAATCTACGTATCACATGTATGGGGAGGAGTAAGGCACTTCCTGGGATGATGTAACTATCATGACCTTGTTAATCTTCATTAACAAGACACCAACTTCCACATGAATTTCGTGGATAATGAAGCAAAAATCATTCACCAGACAGATGGCCCTTGAAACTTTACAGGCTGCACCAGAGCAGAACTGTCCTGTCTCCACAGGGTCCCCTCCTCCAGCCGCATCCTGCGCTATCTGGGCAGCCTTATCAGCTCCAGCCTCCACGCTATCCACCCCATGATTTGAGTTTTGTTACTTGCAAGTGTTTGAGACATTCCTCAGCTCGGAGAGCCTCCGCTCCCCCGCCATCCCTTTTCTTTACCAAATCTCGTCTCTCGCCCTCATTTATGCTTCCTTCAAGGCTGCTTCTCTCAGTCCTTGTTTTGGGGGAGCCACAGGTCGCTTCTTACACCATCAAAACACCGCAACACCTCAACGCAGCTATTTGTCTGAATGCAAAATAACCATATTCACATGTGGAAACTCGCTAGTTTAAGAGCAGAGCAGGAAACCGCAGAATTGCCTTCCTGAAAAAAAAAAAAACAGCTCGACGGCTTTGCTTTTAGAGGGAGATCACAGCTACGTCGTGACCCAAACAGCCCCCCCAAACTCCAGCGATGCTTACCCGCAGCGTCGCTGGCCACCCTGCCAGCCGTGAACGAGCGCAGCGCAGGCACACGAGCAAAACGTGCTTCAAATACAGTTGAGAAAACTAAACCCCAGGGGAGCAACGCTACACGTCCACGATCACATCACCACTGAATAGCAGAGCCAGGTTTTGAGCCAGAAACGTCACACCACCGTTTCACACAGATGTAAGAGCGGCTCTCCAAGCCCCAAGAAGCCAATTTCTGCTCTGACAAGCACCAGGCCATGGAGGCAAACTCCCTGTCTACAAACACAATGGATCCGATATTCCTCTAATTATTGCTATTTTAAGCAAATTACATACAAAATCTAGACACCTGCTGACACAGCACTGGGATACAGGTGCATTAGGGAGGTCTGTAGTTGCTAGAGGAGTATCCCATGACATGCACAAGCTTTTGCCTGGTGCAAAAAGAGAGATTAGTCTTACAGATGTATTACTGCCTCTGCCATGCTCTTCCTTCCTCGATCACCTTCCTATTTGAGATGCCTGCAAGTCCAGCCAAACCACATGAAAAGCAAGAAGCAGCTTTAAAACGGCCCTGTCTGGAGACGACAGAGCACAAGACAGCTCTGGGGTAAGGCAGAAGTCTTACTCCAGCCAAACTGCTGCTCCTCAGTGTTTGCTCCGGGACCAACAACAGCAGATTCACCTCCTGGAGGACCTGGTAACCCATTTCCAAATCCAAGAGCCCCCCCTTGGCACAGCTTTGCCGGCACACAGTCAGAGAGCACTGTCGCCCCTTGGGATGGCTGTTCCTACCTTCTTTGGTGGAGACTTGCATCCTGGTGGCCGGCAGCCTGCAGAGCCGGTGCTTGGTGATCTGCACCAGACCCTTGGGCGAGGAACGTTTCAGCGGCGTGGAAGGCTTCCCCCGTGAAGAGTTTTTCTTCCTGAGATGGAAGTGGCTTTTCAGAAGGGTGGTGGGTGAGGAGCCGTTCTTCTTATCCGGCGGGGAACTGCGAGGGGGAACACCACACAGTTAGAAGAGAGAGGACCAAAACGTGCTTGGTGCCCTTGTCCAGAGCTGAGAAGCTGGGTCACCAAGCTCCACACTGCTCCCTTACCCAAGGGTGATATGAAGCACTGAACAGAAAATTCGAAGTAAATAAGCAAGTGTGATGAATTTCTGGTAAAGGACAGATGGAGAATGAGGTATTTGGCAGCGTAACGCAACTCATTCCCTTCTGCTTAACAGATGCAGGGGAGAAGATAGAGTCACAGGATCACAGAATCATTTTTAGATTGGAAAAAGACCTTGAAGATCATCGAGTCCAACCGTAAACCTAACACTACTAAGTCCACCACCAAACCATGTCCCTAAGCGCCACATCTACACATCTTTTAAATACCTCCAGGGATGGTGACTCAACCACTTCCCTGGACAACCCATTCTGATGCTTGATAACCCTTTCCGTGGAAGAATTTTTCCTACTCTCCAATCTAAACCTTCCCTGGTGCAATTTGAGACTGTTTCCTTTATTCTATCGCTTCTTACTCAGGAAAAGAGACCGACACTCACCTCACTACAACCCCTTTCAGGCAGTTGGAAAGAGCAACAAGGTCACCGCTCAGCCTCCGTTTCTCCAAACTAAACCACCCCAGTTCCCTCAGCTGCTCCTCAGAAGTCTTGCACTCTAGATCCTTCACCAGCTTTGTTGCCCTTCTTTGGAGATCCCTCCAGCACCTCAGTGTCTTTCTTGCAGTGAGGGGCCCAAAACTGAACACAGTATTCGAGGTGCAGCCTCACAAACACTTCACTAGTCCTGTTGGCCTTTAGCGAGATGGGGGGGGGGGGGGTCTAATCTCCCCGACTGCTAAAAAATCCAAAACAAACCCAGCTTCCCCAAGCACCTTGCTCCAGAGTGATCCTCCCATCACGATCCACCCGCAGACACATTCCCCAGCAAACCAGGAGGGCAAGACAAGGATGGAAACCTGCGGTGAAGCACTGAGCAGAGGATCTGAGAAACAGATCCGGGAATCAAGGCACCAGATTCTCAATCGGTGCTGTGTTACCTGCTCATCGTGTCACTTAGAATAGTTATTTAGGCCACAGCCCTCAATTTTCAAAAGCTCAGGCATGGTGTTACTGCAGCAAGAAAGGAGCCAAACCACGTGTCCACTACGCTGAGGATATCTCCGAGTTCAGTGGCAGAGGTGACACAGCTGTGCCACCAACCCTCACCCCATCCCCGCTTATCCCTTCCCTGCAGCACAGGCTGGGCTTGCATCCAGACCTGCCGAGAAGAGCAGCACAAAACAGCTTTCCCACCAGGAGCACAACATAACAAAGCCCTTGCAGCACTTCCACAACACACCAGATTTCAAAGAGTTTGGTCCCGACCTCTTATCTGTTTCCTCTCAACTCCCAGCTCAGTGCAAACTTCTTTTGCAGATAACTCAGCCCACGTGCCTTTTCCTTCCACCAAGCTTCGTTTATAACTTTCCCAGTGTACTCTGTCCTTATCAGACACAGCCAGGGGGGAAAACTTGTTCCACAAGACCCCGGGAGTATCTGCTAGTCAGGCACAACGCCTTCTCCCAAGGTAGCTACGACAGCCACACATCTGTCACGGACTTGACAAGGAGAAAGAAAAGTGAGAGCCTTCAAGGAGGACACTTTGGGTTACAGCGGTGGATGGCACGAGGGGATGGCACCCAAGGGAGGGAAGTACCAGCAGAGTATCAGGGACAGTGCTTCTTCCCAGCACGCAGAGCTCACCTCCCATCCCTGCTCCATCTGCACAATGCTGTGTGGGGACAGATCACACGCAATACGGCGATTCTAGCCACTTCTTTTCCTTTTCCCAGCCCCCCAACACAGCAAGATGATGGGAGTTTGAAAATAAATTAAGACAGCTATTTCCTTCCCTTTGAATATTAGTCTGTTATTCAGGTCAGGGAGGAGTCTCCTGAGTGTTGCAGCAAAGTCTTCGGAGGACAGGGATGGGAGGTGAGAAGAAAACCATCGTCTGTTTGAAAGGTTACAATCAGGGTTACACAGACTGCTAAAACAATTAACACTTGAGGCCTTCCAACCCTGGAAAGCAGGATGCCTCCAAAGAGAATAAAGTCACCACATTTGGAAAGAGAAAGGCAAATACACCTTCCAGTATAAAACAACCCTCGTTGGAATTTCACTTATAGCCACGATTTACCTGAACCCCATGAATACAAAACACGATGAGTGCAACAACACCGCTCTGACGACGACCAGAAACTTACCCCGAGCTTCCTTTTCTCTTGATGATTTTTGTCCTGCTCTTCACTTTATAACTGGACAGCGCAACATCGCCGAAGGAGGGCTTCACCCCGCCGTGACCAACAGACCCGGCGCTCGGAGGAGGTGGGGCTGCACCAGCTCGAGGGTGGTTGAAGGCTGTAGGTTTTTTCTGATCCTCAGATTGCCACCTGAACGCTGACTTGGAGGTGGAGGGTGAGGTCTGCAGGCTGGAGGCTTTCCACTTATACTTGCTGGGAGAAACACCCAGTTTGGATTGCAGTCCTGATTTCTTCAGCTTTGCTCCCAAGTCTGCTTTTGGTGATAGTTTAGGACCTCTCTCCGCTCCACCAGCGACCTTCTTAGCACTTTCAGAAGCTCTTGGGCTGACCCATCTCTTCACAGGACGAGAGCATTTACCAGGGTTTGCGACCCACGTGTAATTAGTTTTCCTGAATTTTGACACTTTGCTGGAGACGGATGTTGAGGCAGCTCTTTGGAGACCAGCAGCTTTGGGGACGACGGAAAACTTGCTCTTCCCTGGAGTCATCCCACCCACTAAAGTCGCAGCCTGAGCAGGTCTGGAGCGCATCTCACCATTTCCAAGTTGCTCTGGCTCTCTGAAAGCATCCCTGACATGCTCACAACTAGACTGCCCCGGGGCGAGCGGTTCTGCCTTCCTCTGTACCAAGTGCTGAGCCAGCTCGCGATCTGGCAACACCGAAGGCTCCTGCGGCTCCGATTTCAGCGTCACGGCGCTTTCACTGGTGCTTCCGCAAGAGGCAGGGGAGCTGCCGGCCACGTCGCTGGCCAGATGCACCATTCTAGGCTTATCCGACACGTTCCCGTACACTGAACTCACGAACCGGTGAGATGAACTAAATGAAACCGAGAGAGAAGGTCTTCTCTCTTCATTTCGGCATGCGTATGGAGATTTCTGCGCGCCTTTACTGTCACCCGGCACAGTGACCACCGTTTTCAGCCCAGATAACTCACAGTAAGAACCCACATCAGCAAAACCTTTCGTATCCGCAAACGGGCCGGCCCTCTGTGGCAGCTGGATCCCTACAACTATATTACCATCTGTGGTCAAGTCCACATGTCTCTCTGGGGACGATTCCGATGGCTCGGGTGCCGGGCCGTCCCCATGACTTCCAAAAGCCTGAGATGTGCTGGCACTCCCACCGCTTCCAACGTCACACGCCCATCCCGGTGGCCGGTTGACAAGGGAATATTTTTTCCTCCAGGAGTGACCCTGGCGCAGCTGGAAATCCCTAGGAGCCTGCTGGGGGTACCTGGCTGAAAATGCCCCCCTCCTGCCGAAGGCAGGCTGGCGGGGGTTGTTCCACCTCGGTGGTGTGGATGGCAGAGGCCGTGGCATGTCCCCGTGCGTGTTTTTATGATCATTTATGAGACCTAAGGAGAAGAAGACAGCGTCTGTTAACCATTTGTTCCATGGGATTTTTGACTGCAACACAGCACTGGTTTTCCTCACACTGCAATAAGGATGATCCCTCTGCACAGGCCACGTTTCAGATAACCGGTGCTGGAAGGAAAAACTTAAATATCTCCCTCAATTCTCATGAAAGTCAGTAACAAAAGTGATTTCGCAGGACAAGTCAACGCAGGTCTGAACCACAGACTCACCAACAGACCCTTGACACACTGCACTAGCGCTGTCAGATGCGTTTTGCCCCTTTATGCTCTTTTTTATGTGCCAAAATGGGTGCTTGAATTATTGCTTTTGGAGCCTAATTTTTTTAAAATGTTAATTTTATTTTCAGATATCTTTCCAGAGAAGTCTCTGAGGGTCTGCGCATGCACGGAGCCCCGCACAGCCACCGCCAGCTCCAAACACAAAGCACAGAATCATTTAGGTTGGAAAAGACCTTGAAGATCATCGAGTCCAACCTTTAACCTCATACTACCAAGTCCACCACCAAACCATGTCCCCACGCGCCGCATCTACACATCTTTTAAATAACTCCAGGGATGGTGACTCAACTACTTCCCTGGTCAGCCCATTCCAGCGCTTGACAAGCTTTTTGGTGAAGATGTTTTTTCTTAATATCCAATCTAAACCTCCCCTGGCACAACTGAAGGCCTTTTTCTCTTGTCCTATCACTTGTTACTTGGGAAAATAAACCAACCCCCAGCTTGCTACAACCTCCTTTCAGGTAGTTGTAGAAGGATAAAATCTCCTTTCAGCCTCCTTCTCTCCAGGCTAAACACCCCCACTTCCCTCAGCCATTCCCCTCTCAAGACTTGTGCTTCAGACTCTTGACCAGCTTTGCATCTCTTTTTCTTCAAAGCAGCGACAAAGAAGCTCCGAGGTGGCCCCAGCTTCGCTACTGAGTCACTACAAAACCCTCTGCCGAGCCACGCCAGTGGCTTTGGTCTACTAACAAAGTCTTTTGGATGATACATGCGTGTCAATTAGGGCGGGTGCGCGCTTGTTAAGTCTCTGAGTTTAGAAAACCTTTCTAACAAAAGGGATTATCAAAGGATTTTTGAGCCTGATATTTTGGTGTCAGCGTAGAAGAGTTTTTCTTACGCGACAGGTCACAGACATGAGGCAACAGCAACCTCTGTAGATCCCTCCTCGAGGATGTGAGGAACCCGTTTTCCTCCCTCTCATCACACCCCCTGAAAGTAGGAGGTCCTGGACAGAGGCAAATCCCCCACAACTCCCTGAGCAGAGTTTGTAGCCTTACTAATGAGGAAAAATTACCTTGAGGTCTATAAATAGAGCGAGTTAGTGCTAAGAATAAGCGCTGGTGCTCACCAGAGCTAGGAAAGGGCACGCAAATATATCTTTCCCCCCCCCCCCAGTGCTACCCCACCATGCTGAGGAGTCAAGGGGCTGAGAGCGAGGGGCACATCCCACCCCTGGGCCACCAGCCCTGGGGACTGTGGGGCTGGGGACACCCCATTACCCCAGCCAGAGGCCCTGCAAGGAACAGCAGCGTGGGGATCCCCCCCTCCATGGGGACCTCTCAACCCCCACCTCCCCCCAGCGCTCTCGGGTCTCTGTTCCCTCCCTGCCTTGGCCCACCCGGGATTCCTGCGTCCTCTCCCCTTTCCCCTCCCCCGCAGCTTTGGGTCCCCTCCACCTCCCCCCCACCCCTTGGGCCCTTCCCAGGCCTCAGCCCTCTCCCCTCCCCCCCCCCCCCCCCGCCTTCCTCAGTACTCTGGGGTCCTCTCCGCTCCCCTCCCCCCCCCCAGACTCCCATATTCCCCCTTCGCAGCTCGCCCTTCCCTCCAGAACTCCCAGTTCCCCCCTAACAACACCCCCCCACCTCAGTCCCCCGGGTTCCCCTCACAGCCCCCCGCGGGAGCCCCGCGCAACCCGCCCCTCCCCCTCCCACACGCTGGGGTCCCCTTACAGCCGCGCCCCCCCCCCCCAGTTCCCACTCCCACTCCCGTTCCCGTTCCCACTCCCACTCCCGTTCCCGTTCCCGTCCCCGCCGTACCCTGCAGCAGCCGGATCTGCCGCCACAGCCGCTCCCTCTCCTCCATCCCCGCAGCGCTTCGCTCCCCGCCCTCCACCGTCCCACCTCGCCGCGTCATCGCCCCGCGCCGGCCGTTGACGGATCACGTGAGCGCGCGCCCTCACGGGACGCCCGCCGCCGCTGCCGTCGCTTAGCAACGGAGGCGGCAGCCGCGGCCTAGCGAGGCCCGGCGGGGCCTGAGGCGGGCCCTGTGCCGAGCCCCAGGCTCCGGCTCCCTCCGCCCCCGGTCCCCAGCCTGGGCTGGCCCCAACCTCTGTCCCGTGCCCAGCCTGGTCCAGCTGTCCCCATCCCCTGTCCCCAGCCGGAGCTATCCCAACTGTCCCCATCCCCTGTCCCCAGCCTGGGCTATCCCGTCTTTCCCCATCCCCTGTCACCAGCCTGAACTATCCCAACTGTCCCCATTCCCTGTCCCCAGCCTGGGATATCCCAGCTGTCCCCAGCCTGGACAATCCCAGCTTTCCCCATTCCTTGTCCCCAACCTGGACTATCCCAACTGTCCCCATCCCCTGTCCCCAGCATGCGCTGTCCCAGCTGTGTCTTGTCCTCTGCCTCAACCTGGTCCGACTGTTCCCATTCCTTGTCCCCAGCCTGGACTATCCCAAATGCCCCCATTCTCTGTCCCAGCCTGGGATATCCCAACTGTCCCCACTCCCTGTCCCCAGCCTGGGCTACCCTGACTGTCCCCTGGCCCTGGCCCAGCTGTCCCAATCCCCTTTCCCCATCTCAGCCTGGTCCAGCTGTCCCTATAGACTAAGTATTAATCCCTAAGGTATAGTGACACTTTAATTTAGGATTGAATGTGCACTGATCTTCTTTCTAAGGAGGACCACTAAACATTGGCTCTGTTGTATCAGCCTAATACTTTATATAAGTGACGCAGACCTTGCTAACGACTGTGTCCTTGAAGAGGAGCTAAAAGATTGATAAGAGGCAAACATCCTGCGTCAGAAGACACCAAAGGCTGGATGATTGCCTGAGAAGCATGAAGTCAACAAAAATCAGTGGTAATTGTGGGAAAGGTAAAGGCAGCGGGGGAATATCGCCACCACCAACTCAATTCAAGACCAAAAAGACTTGCCCCCCCATACCTGTAAGGAGCATGTGTGCTAATTTACATAGCAAGCAAGGCTAATTTAAATATAACTAACCAACGAGGGACAAAGTGATATGAAACTAACCAATGGTCATTACAGGAAATGTGTATTCGTGTAGTTTGAAGTGTATAAATACACTGAAGTTCTCTCATGCGTTGTGCTAGCTTTGTGGAATTACCGCCTAGCACCCATCTCTGCTCAAACATGGAATAAATAAATATCTCGGCTCAGTGTGTAAGATTGTCTTATTGCATAATGGGTACTGAACCCCATTTGAGGGACAACATCCCCATCCCCTGTCCCTAGACCGGGCTATCCTGGCTGTCCCTTGTCCCCATCCCAGCCTGGTCCAGCTCTTCCCATCTCCTGTCCCCATCTCACCATGGTCCAGCTGTCCCCACCCCCTGTCCCCTTCCCAGTCTTTTCCAGTCATCCAGGCCCCCCTCTTCATCCGTGCCCTCTCCCACCACCAGTGTCTGCCCACAGCCCACCACCACTCCAGCCTGTGCCTCCAGGCACAAGAAGAATTTCTCCTTGACCCCATAGGACCATCTCCAGCAAGGAGACTTATATTTCACACATCAGCCTTACAAGTCCTTATTTCTCATACTTTGGCTGTAATTGTTTAAAATGTTCTGCAGGAGAGCTAGTCCCGAAGCTGAGCTGCAAAGCTTGCTTGTGCTAGTGAAAAAAACGGTAGTTATTTTCATCTTCCTGCAAGAACAGGCAAGTTTGGTTCCTAATTTAAAGTCTTTGTGGTGTGTTAGATGTGCCGGTAAGGTTGTAGCAGCAGCAGAGCAAAATAGCTGCTGCAGTCAGGGTAATTTTGAGACATCGTCTGGGCACAGGAGTTTGCACCTTCTAATTAAACAAAAAATGGGGGTAAGTGGCTCTGCAAGTCACGTTTTGTAACACATTTCATTGGAAGTCCTCAGGACAGTTCATGTTCCACCCCCATTTCTCAATTCCTCCCAGAAACCAGGGGCAAATCGAAAGCAGAAGGCAGTTTTCTTAGGTCTGGTCCCAGTCCCTATCCCCTAAAAAGACTTTCTTTGACTTGAACTGTACCCCCTGAGCATGCATCAAATCAGGAGTATCCAAGAAATATAACCATCCAATTGAGAGCACAATCAGAGAATGTAATTTATATGGACATTAGCCTTAAGGAATTTGATTTTTGAATAATGTCATTCTTCCCTAAGGGAATAAAAAACATAACTCAAAATAAATCTGTAACAGAAGTCTTCAAGTCTGCAAAGGAGATAAAAATCCAGCCTAAAATTCTTTTTTAAACAATTTGGAGAAAAAAAGCTAAGCACAATGCTAATACTTGCACGCTAGTAGAACGCTGTAAGAATACATACAACAATAATAGGAAACACAAACAGGTAGTGAACAGTGTGATTGCTCACCACACACTGACCGATGCCCAGCCCGTTCCCAGCCAGCAATCCCAGAGAAGAGAGAATCTCAAAACCACCATCCCAAAAACTTGAGTGGAGCTTCCCAATCAACCCCTATTTATATACCGAGCAAGACATTAGATGATATGGACTATTCCACTGGCCAATTTGGGTCTGTTGTTTTGGCTGTGCTCCCCCCCATCTTCTTGTCTACCTGCGCACTAGCAGGACATGTGAAGTTGAAAAAGTCCTTGATTTCTTAGCAACAACTAAAAGTATCAGTACATTATCAACATTCTTCTCATACCAAACCCCATACTGAATCCGAAATACAGCTCTATTCCAGCTACTAAGAAGAAAGGAGAAAAAAAAAACAAACAAAAAAAAATCCCCCCCCCCCCCCAAAAAACAACAAAACAAAACAAAACAAAGAAACACACAAACAAAAAAACAACAAAAAACCAACCAAAACCAAATAGCTTTATCCCAGTCAAAATCAGGACACGCTCTCATGATGGGAACTTTATAAAAGCAACCGATCATCAACCTCAAATCATTTAAATCAGAAGCTGTCCCTTGGGGAATCTTGCTTCCCGTCACAGTTACGGAGTTTTGCCTGTCCCAGCTCTGATCAAATAACGTCCCCGGGGCAAGCCCACGATTTGCTTGCCCGGAAAGGTAAAGTTAGTAAATTATTTACGGCGTGTTTAGTGGGCTCTGAAAGCAATTCAGCGGTGGAACATGGTGAAGAGCCAGCCCGTAGGAATAAACCACTTTGCACGGATGGTAGCAAAGCCTTCAAAATACAAAGCAGTTGAGGATTTTGGCCCTTATTAGCCTGTCCCTGAAGCCCTAAGACTACAAAAAACCCCTCCAGCCTCTCTCCTTTCAAAGTCCTGCACATACGGGAATGGGCTGGGGACCAGGCGGGCAAAAATAACAGACCTCTTCCCTTTGAGTGGCCTCAGATCAGCTTTAATCGATCACGAAGCCCCACCTAGAGTTTTGTAACCACTTTAAACCAGCAGAAATTGGCACTTCTGCCAAAAGAAGCCTCCTCCGCTCCCAGCTGCTCGTTCCCTCCCTTGTGCTGGCACAAGGATTCGAGTGGCTTGCATAAACGAGCTAGAACGGGCTGCTCTGAATTGAAATTAATTCAGCACACACAGAGGGAAAGCTAATTTTTAACATAGGGAAGCCATGCATCCACCACTCCCACAAAAGGAAAGAGTGAGCTAAACGCAGTGGGCCCTGTTTTGCCAATCTATACCAAAATATGTAACTAGAAAAAGCAAAGTATGGGGCAAGGCAGTGCTGGAGGGTCTCGAGCCACTTGGGATCCTACTTTGATGCTCCTTAGATGCTCCCCACAGGGAGAGCTTTGGTGGGGTGGGGGCATCCAGAGGAGCAAGACCACTATTGTAAGCATGAACTGGGTCTTCCCCAGGGAATGAAGAGGAGCATCGTGCCTCAGGACATGCAGTACTCGCACATATCTTGCCTGAGCAAAGGGCAAAGGAGAGATAAGGATGCTGCATCACTAAAATAAATGCTTTTTTTCTTTTCAGCCCACCACGAGGAAGCACTACCCATTGAGCCACCTCACCGCTCAAAGCCTGTTACAAGCAACACATCTGAAAGCTACAGGAATTCACCGCCCTTGTTCTTTGTTCCTAGCACTACGCTTGTATGACACTTGTTTGTAAGTCTAATTTAATTAAAAAAACAGTAAAAAGCAAGTGCGGATTTTTGACGCTGCGCTGGCAGGGTGTCTGCGTGTGAGAAAACGCCCTAGGGAGGGTAGCACATTTAAGAGAAATTAAATTGTCTCATTCAGCCCAGAATAAACATGGTGCTAATCCCTCTAATGGCCTTAAACATCACCCGTACTGCGGATCCAGTGACAAGCGTGCAATAGGACCCAATTAAGCTGCTCACACGTTTGAAATCATGGCCTCATCAGCTCTGGTTTAGTCTGGAGTCTCTCGATGGCTTTCTGTAAACTTGCTGAGACAAGCTAAAACACCAAACTTCGATAAGCGCTGCACCAGCAGATTGCAAAGACCTGATGACAGGGTGAGTGGGAGGCACTGGTGTTTCTGCTGCCTGCTCCCACGAGCGGGCTGACAAAGGCACAGGGATCTCCTAGGATCCCTGGATCCTCCTGCATTGCCTAAAACACCCAGCACTGCCTGGTGTCCATTTGCAGGAGCGTTGTCTATAGGGCAGCAGAGTGATTATTCCCTCTGGGGTCACCCAAGACTTACAGCTGGAGCATCGCATCAAGCTTTTGGGGAGACGCATTAATAAAAATGTAGAAAAATTCATGAGAATCCAGAGGGAAGGGAAAAATCAAAAGAGTAAATGTATAAAAACATCACCTGTAAAGAAAAGCTGAAAGATTTTTCAAGTTTTGATAAAAAAAATAATTTAAAAAAAAAGGGAAATAATAGAAATAATATTAGAAATAGATCTCTAATGAAGTGTGCTTGATGTTCACTGGTGGTAGTAAAACAGGCATTAGCTTCATTTGCAGCAA